AGTGAGAGGAAGAAGGATCTGCAGGAAGGCTGCAGATTTCAAGGAGGAGGTGGTGCATATGGAGTGCTGTGAGCCTGAATAGGCCGGAAAACCTAGGCAATACACCCTCGAAAATTCCGGAAGAATGAAAGGGGTTTAAGTCGAACTACATCAAAAAATTTCTTCTTCTCGACAAACGCCGAAACCTAATAGTTGCTACCCCAACACATAACGGCAGGAGGTAACCAGGAAGAGGAGGGCACGAACTTGCCAGCAAGCGAGCGATCCCAAGCGCCGGGTGGTCCCCTGGTACGTCGCGATAGTGATTGCGCCAGCAATCGGCCGCGTCCGTTATGGTCAACGCCTCCAGCAGATCGACAGGATCGACCCCGTTCTCAACCCCAGGATACCAAGTACCCGCCTCGCCTGGTCAAGGGAAATGCAAGAAGAAGGGATCCAACAACAAGTCAAGGTCGCCATAACCCCGAAGCAAGCCGATCAGCACCTGTTGGAGGAACGATTTCCACCAGCGCCCTCCCTAGATCGGAGTTGCTTGCGATCAGTATAGAACACTTCCAAATACCGACTGGCGCGACGCTTGACGATGCTCACCGGAAAGGCGTGGGTAGAATCCCAATAAGCCCGAAGATGCTCATCCTCGTAGGACGCGTAGAGTCGCATCATGTGTCGGAATTAACCTCGACCTCGGACGTGAGAGGATCAATCTTGGCAGCAAGGATCTCCCACGGAGCAGACTCGATCAAGTCGCGTACGTTGCTCTCGTCCACCAGATCGTCTCGCCATTCTCCATGCGGAGGCGCGGAGCAGCGGAGGGGATTAGCCATTCCATCGGCTTGGCGAAGTGATGAAACATCAGATCCGCGTCCATCTCCACGATTCTTGTCTGACGAATATCCTGCGCATACCAGGGGACGATATCGTGGCTGCGGAAGTTACGGCGACCACGATAACCGGGAATCCACTCCGATCGGGGAACCGTGGAAGGTGCAGTTCGGCGTCGGATAGATGGCCGGAGGGCATTCCAAACTGGTCCCGAGCGCGACTCAACTCCGGAGAACCACTGTCGCTTCCCGCGGTGTCCGAATCGAAGACGCGAGTAGAACTGGATTTGCCGGAGGAACTCTCGCCACAGTCGGAGAGCGCGCCCGACTCGGAAGCTGCAGGAGAGGACGAAGCGCCACTACTGCTACGATTTGTTGGTCGATCGAGCAGAACGAGGAGGATGATCAGGAAGGCCAGCGAACGAAGGAGATGACACCGGATCTTTGGCCTTCTGGCCAGCCGCTACGACAGGCAATACCTCGATCGAAGATCTAGACGCAGGACCCTGACTCAAAGCGCCAGCAGGGAAGGGATCTGAAGTCGATCGAGCGGCATTGGAGACGCGAGCAGACCGGGCTGGAGAATCGGACCCAGAGCGTGCTCGTTTGTGAATCAGGGCTGGAAGGGAGAAGGGGCGCGATGTTTGACAACCTCTCTTGCGCCTGGCCCCGCTCGGCCCGTAGATCGGTGACCTCCATGAAACACTCGCCAAGCTGGCTGAGCAATTCATCTCTTTGGACCGCCAAACTGTCTCTCTCCTGTTGAAGCGCTGCTAGCGCTGTCGCGAGGTCTTAACGCGACTTCTGAGATTTCTCGACTTGGTTAATCCGTTTCTCGAACCGGGCGATAGTATCTCGAGCCGCTGAGACACGATCTTCTGTGACACAAGGCACGAATTAGTACAACTCCGACAAAGACATGCGGATGATACCCACGGGTGGCGATACGTTCTGCCCTGGCTTGATCACGCTGAGAGATCGCCGTGCGGACGCGCTGAGAAGCCTTCTGGAGATCCCGATCCAGTGTCGATACCCGATCCTACAAACGATCAAGCTCGGCGGAATGCGTGGCGATCGTGTTGTCGGCAACCTTCAAGCGACGCTCATAGTTTTCACGCATGGTACGGAAGCGACGAGTCTTACGCTCGATCACGGCCTCGAGGCGATCTACTTCTGCTTGAGCAGCCTTGTGGGACGTAGCTGATTCACGGAGCTCCGAAGCGAGAGAAGACTGACGATCACGCGCGACTAGTAAGTCAGAGTGGGACCGCGCGAGCTGGGACCCCAGATCTGTTAGGCGGCGAGCTGTATCGGGCGGGACGATCACGCCAAAAGAAGAGGCAGCAGCCTGCTGTGCCTCCAAAGTGGAGATCCGATCTTGGAACTCAGACACCGCTTCGTCGTAACGGAGCTGCAGATCATGGTACCGGAGACGGCACGCCTCAAGCTCGCGGGAGTTGTCCAGTCGCTCCTCCAGCGCGTTCAGGCAGTCGGCGAGCTCCTTCCGAGTAGAGTCCAGCTGGTGATGGACGACCTCGTACTTGTGCTGACACAAGAGCACATATGGCGACGCAGCCTTAGCCGCATCAACGAGCTGACGATCCAGGTCCTACGCGCGACGTCGTGTGGCCAGAACCTCGCGGCGCAGAACCTCGTGATCCGAGCGGAGCTCACGCAGTGCCTCGGTCTGGTCGATGGCCTGCTGCTGTGTACTCAACGAAGCCCGCACACTGGCAAGATCCAGCGAAGGATCGGCCAACTCGACGTTCGACACGGTGGCAGGGCCGCCACGCGCGGCAGAATGAAGGAAAGAGCAGGGCGAAGACGTGAGGTCGACGAAAGCGCTGCTATCTATGGGGGACGAGAGCAAGCAATGAAGAAGGGGTCAACAACGCATGGAAGCGGACGCACCGGAAGACATGACGACGTGGCTGTGCTGACACCGAAAGCGAAAGACGAGCAGGCGAGAAGGTCCTGCGAGAAGGTCCTGCGAGAGGCGAAGATCAGTGAGTGAAGCCCGACAGTTGGCGCTGTGGATTCTCACTCAGGGGACGATTGTGGTGAAGTGACAGTTGGCTTCGGGGAGCAAGGGACTGATTGATGGGATGTGACTCGATCCAGTCTCGGGACTAATCGTCGACGACGACGCGTCAAGTGATTACGTCATCATCTGCGAAGATTGTGTAATCGTCGGAGTAGATCGAGATGGTGCAATCATTTCGAGACGTGATCTACCCCCGAGGATGCCGATATTCGATCTACTCGTAAGGAGTCGATCTATTGTTGACGCATCAACTGATTTGTACCCATGGTAAGTGGCACGCGACCAGGCTACAGAGGGGATAAAAAGGGCATCTATAGGATGGGTAAAAAGTATTGGACCGCTAGGACTTAAAGGACTAACAGAGTGGAATTTGCCTTATCAGGAACAAGTGTCTTCGGTACAAGATTGGAAGCTGTAGCGGGAAGTATATTGGCC